TACTATTTAAGGCGTTCAGTGTCATCGAAATATGGCTTAAGTCATATGTAAGTCAAAGTAACATGCATTTCAAGCAGTTTTCATGAGGAATTGTAGTCGATCGAATGTTTCATCATTGATTAAATGAATATTTTTGTGACATAGAAACACAATGTCAATGTTGTTCAATATTTAAAAAAAAATCAAGTATTTACTTTCTGTGAATCACAATTATCAGTCGATATTGAAAACTTAGTCTGCAAGAAAGTTACAATGAGTGACAAATTTAGGTCACTCGCTAGTTGTGCAATAATGTTCAATTTATGAGTAGAAATCATAAGAACCAATAGGATAAGTTTCCCTACCCAACCAACATCGCTATTGAGCACTTCTATGTCATACACATAACCATGTTTCGTAGATTAGAATCATGAATTCGATTAAAACTTATATCTAATAATATACATGCGATTCTCTCAGGACCATTCTCTGGAATTGTAATTTTGGGTGTGGGTATGGGTGGATGCGGGGTGTGGGTGTAGGGTGTGGGTGTGAGTGTGGGTGTAGAGTGTGGGTGTGTATTATTCCCTTGTGCTAATACCCACACCCACACCCAGTTACCCACACCCAGTCACCCACACCCATCTTGATTATATTTTACAATTCATTAATTTGTCTACTGTTAGTCGTTTAGAATTCAAAGAAAACTATGATTTGGCACGGTTACACATTGTTCCGAAGATTATATTGTAAGTTTAACCAATTGAAGAAAATAATATCAATAATTTTAATATCGCTTTCTTACGTTAGAAGAGGGTTTGTAAATATATCACAAAAAGGCCCGTGATATTTGAGTTTTCCATATGTTACTTTCATAAAAATAAACATAAACTATATGTACATTGTTCAATATGTTTAACTAGTCCATTTTCTAATGATAGATACAATTCCATTAGTTACTTTTGATGTTCATAATTTATTGAAACACTAATATCGGGAACTCTTATATCAGAAGGGTTAAATATTGTATTACCTATGAAAATGTAATTGAATGAGAATTCGAATATTCTAAACAGATGAAAGATTGAGTGTAATAAAATTCTTTTTAATAAAAAACATGTTTTTGATTCTATCATTTTACAAAAAATTTTGTATTGATGCTTCGATGAACAAAAGAAGAGATTTTATATTGTATTTGTATGATACGACATGTTTATATTTAAAAGTTTCTAGTCAAAGTTGGATAACATGCAATCTTAACAGCGATAAAGCTAGAAAAACAGATTACATTACTGAATTTAGTAAAAATATTACTAATATAAATTTTTACTCTCATCCAGATATAAGAACGTTCTATATAACATTAAATATAGTTTGAAGTTGTAAATAGTGTCATATTCAGTCAATAATTCATAAAAAATTCATCGGTAATAAATTGGATTTTTAATGGAATTTAAAACAAACGAACTTTTCAATTATGATATCATGCATCCTTTGTCAATTATGATTTCTCAGTAAAGATGTTATCAAACTAGAATTAATTTAATAAAACAATCTTATGAAAACAATAGAGTATTCGGCAATCTAATACTTACTCACAATTTTAGTCCGCTCAATAAGATTAAGATAATTACAGATCATATGTGTTTTTCTGTAAAATATGCATCGAAATTTATCCAACATTTTCGAACTTGGTACCTATATAAAAAACATTTGAAAAAGGTATACACAATCAAAGAAATTGAGAAGAAGAACATTGTAGTACAAACATCTATAAATAAAATTCTGTATATGATATTTTCATAGAATCTAAATCACACGTAAACATGAAAACATCTTTTTTTTTGTCTTTCTGTTTTAATTATAATATCAATAAATATTCAAGCATCGAAGCTTTATATTTTATCTTATTAATGATACTCATGAATTCAATAATAATAATTCTTTACAGAACAAAACAGCTAAAGTCTTTTGATGAAATCAAATGCAATTGTATAAGAATAATATGAGAAGTCTATTGATTACTTAGCATTGTAATTCAAATTGAAACGATTTGGTATAATGCAATCGCTTTTATTTAACTAAAAAAAGTGAGACAAGGTACTTATCTCTATCGTTCTTCCTGCTTATCATGTAAGAGTACAAAAAATAAGTCTGTTGAGTACTTCTATTTATTCTCATGAAATACAGAAGGACAGAAAGTTCAGTACTACTATATATTTGCGAAATCAAAAAAACAGGAGATGAGAGATAGACATATATCAATACTATCTCAGAAAAATTTCTTTTAGATTTTTTTGCTTAGAATCTATAAGGAAGATGTATACTCACTTACTCATGCACGTATAACATTTTGCCTGATTGACTGAAGCTGGAAGTAGAAAGATACACAGATTTACTAAGAAGTGAGGGTGTGAGTATGTGGGTGTGTAAGTGTAGTTCCTCTCTTCTATGATACCAACAACCACACTCACACCCACACCCAACAAAATCACACTGTCATAATGCTGTAGCAAATATAGCTCTACTTCGAATTTAAAGTTTGCCAAGCTTTGAACAAGGCTTTCTTTGAGTTATTTGTCTGATGAATGGGGAAATCACTTTTCGATTTCGGAAAAACTCATTTCTACAAAAAACAATTTTTACAAGATTTCAGTTTTATTTTGAAAACTGTTGTGTTCATTTTGAAGTCCCATAGTCGCAAAGTTCAATCATCTATAAAATGTCAAAGTAAAATCGATTCAAAGTTGTAGTACCAGAACCACCAAGATCCAACCAGAATGACACTGTATATTTACTACTAATTGATGCTGTAAATGACTGAACGAGAAAATCAATGCCAGTACTAGCAGTGCAGCTGTCTTGATAGCAATTGCCAGAATAACAATTGCTGCCAGAAGTGATGGTTCCTGAAGTTCCAACACATGTGCTCGTACAATACTGTATCCATCCTGTTGGTGTGGTTGAAGAGTTTTCAAAGCCACCATTTTGTAGTAGCTCGGTACTTGTTGCATTAATACTCACCACAGATACTCTGTCCAGATAATAAAGACGATTATTTTCATTCTGAAACCCAAAAAGAAGCATCGGTGATGCACTATTTGCTGTGAAGTTAAATCGATAGATAGTCGCTGAACTGGGACTACTCCCAGATAGAGTCAAAGTAGTACCACGGCCAATCGATGAGCAATTCAATCCTATGAAAATCCAAACAGTTAAGAATCAATATGTATTTATATTAACCCATCTGGTGAAAATCGCTTAAAAATTGGCGATTTATCGCGATTTATCATGCCGATTAATTGTGAGATTATATCGCGACAAAATCGCCTAAAGTAGCGATTGTCACCGATTTTAGTTTCCGATTTTCGTGAAAAATCGCGATTATTCAAATAGTATTTTCAATAATCGAATCTGTTCATAGAATTGGAACCTGGGACTATGACTACCCAGAAAAAAAAATTATGAAAATCTGCATTGAAACCCGTTCTTATTTCAGTTCGCATATTTTCGCTAGACTCTTAAACGTGATCGTGAAGCTACGTGTAGTAACGCACTTTTGAGCAAAAAACAGTACGCTACAATGCATCAAGCTTCTAAAAAGTTATTGCCAAGTCTATCATGGTCTTAAACTTTTTTTTCACTATTTAAATAGATTTTTGTAAACCTGGTTCGTCTGTCAATGTATTTCCTGTCTTGCTAAAGGCGTTTCATGTAATTTTTTTAATTATCATAGAGCAGATTCGACCAGAAGACTTTGTAGTTTCGAAGCAGAGAATATACCATTAGACTATTCTTACGTATTCCTCGAATCGTTGAATTTTTTATTTCTATTAAACAAAATTTTTCGCTTCACCTTCACGAAAGTTTAACTATGAGCAAAATTAGGTATATGATTTTCCTATTATTTAAAAACAAAGATAAATAATTTTTCATAATTTATGTAAAAAATGTAGTGAATTTATTATAAAAAATAGATTGAATTTATATGTAAAATAAACTGAATATATTATAATCTGTAATTTAAATAAGCCAATTTATAAAAGGTGTTTTTTTAATTTGACTATTCAAAAACTACTCATTTTTATTACAAATATAAAATAGACAAAAAATTATTTATCTTATGATAAATATACAAGCATTCATAAAATAGCGCTAAAACTCTTTAAAAAAATACTTCGATTAAACATGACAAAAAACGCATTTCATCGCTCAAAAAAATATAGAATTGATCAACCAATAAGATTGTGACGTTAACGGTACTCAATAATAGAAAAAAGGCTCAACTAACTTTTTCGTTCGGTCTACAGTAGAAAATAGCAAAAATAGTCTTTTGACTATCTCAACTCAATGAAATGTGAAATCTGCATGCTTCATTTTTGTAGCTCCCTTCAATCTCTATAAAATTCGCTAAGCATCCTTTCGAATTCTATTAATGTAAAGCATAAAAAATTCACATCAATGATCTTAAAGAATTATGTAGATTTATTGAGAAAAGAGTTGCTAATTATAGAACTCCCATTCGTTTTCATTGAACTAGAGTCACAATTTTCTGAGTTATCCTCAGATTCGAACTAGATACTTTTTATTTTTATCGAGTTTTTTTTATTTGAGAAATGTGAAGAGAAAGAGAACTACATCTACATATTTCATTTTGTCTCTCAAAAATCGATTGTGATGCAGAAAATAGATGTGAATCCATTGCATACATAAATCATCTATTGAAAATCAATGATAATTGGTTAAAACATGCATTACGATCGAAAGCTAGTTATAGTTGCACTCAAAGTCTCAAAAAATTTGCGAAATATTAGTATTTCTGTGTTATTTTCTGCCTTGTTAGTAGTTGCTAGTGATTCTAAAAACAAATAACTAATGGTTCATGTAGGAGTTGATGTGATCTGGAATGAATGATGCTCAAAATTCATGCGGAGTTTAACTATGGCATTGAAGATAGATAACCGATCGTTTCCTGACGAATACTGGAAAAAGTAGAAAGGATTTCAAAATTTATAGAGAATATAGCTTGTATTGCCACTATAGTCGCATCGTTCAAGGTCGTTCATATTTGACTCAAAGTTTATCAAAAAGCTTCGTTCACTCACCTGCATTAGTCGTGCTAACGGTTGTTGATGCTGATGTACTAGCCGCACTAACAGTTGTTGATACTGATGTAGTAGCTGCACTAACAGTTGTTGATACTGATGTACTAGCCGCGCCAACAGTTGTTGATGCTGATGTAGTAGCTGTACTAACAGTTGTTGTTGCTGATCCAGTAGTTGTGTTAGCCGTCGATGTCACAGCTATCGAGATAACAAATATTTATCTAGCTTAGATTCTACAAACTTGTAAGTTGCTTTACGCATGCTTCGGAAGTGCCGTATTCAGAACTTGGCGTTATTAGATATAGTATAACCCTGGACAAGTCTTTTACGACTGCTTGCCTCATATTATTTATCCGATAGTATGTACTGTTTACATATTGATGTGCATGGACCCTCAAAGATAGTATGTCGTTAGTAACTATGTACATGGACTCAGATGACCGAACGAAATGACTCTAACTCAGGCTGATCTTTTGCCGTAAGTAACAGCTAGCATTAGGTGTAGAAAAAGCATCAGATGTAAGATAGGGTGTGGGTGCACATATTTTCTTCACTCACATCCTAGTGTGTGATGGTGTATTCTACTAATACCTCTAAATAATGGATACGAAGTGGCCTGGCTATTGTTAATTGGCAGCTGGATGAGTTACGGGTACCAACTGACTAGAAATGTTTAACTGATAATCATCTCACTTACTAGTTTCGGGATAATAACATCTGAAATTAGTTCCTATTTCTAGCAAAGTAGCTATCTAGTAAAGTTAACTTCGATTTTCTGGGGAATAGCACTGATAATGAGCATTTTCATTCGGTTCTCAAGTACCGCTCGTATACACACCACTTGAATTGTTTGTTTGAGCTTGCATTAAAATAAACAGAAATACAAGGGCGACGATGAGACCAGCTACCAATAATACGATTGTGCTTATCATACAACATAGGTAGCAACATGTTAGTCTGAAGAAACGAAAATAGAGAACCTTTCACTTCTTGCTGGAGCAACTCACGAGCCTGCACCCGCTCTCCTTCGATTGTTTGACTCATCTTCATCAGAATCAGATGTTGAGCTTCTAGTCGACGCAAATTCGCCAGCTGTATACATATTAATACCGAAATCTTTGGAGGATATTGTTTTTGGTTGTGCTGGTCGCTTTACGATGATCTACATATTCAATAATATAAAATAATTATCTCCATATCCAAGTAGATAAACAGCGTATACGAACTTTTCGAGGCATCGTATGACGTTCGTAATAATCAGTAGGAGCCACTTTCCTCGTATTCATCATTTGTCGAAATTTTTAAACTAAGCCAAAGAAATAAATGCAAAGCTAATTTTTCTTCTCTCTTATGAATACGTGTTACGTCTTGTCTTTATCACTTGATTATCGGGTCAGCCAAGCGAGATATCATGACAACAGAAAAAAGAAAAAGATGAGTCCTTTGCAGTATTCGCACTACATCAACTGCTCTTCGAACAAACATCTTAATATTAGATTAGAAAAGATATTTTCTCTCCTTCTTATGATCGGATAAAAACGATCTGAATTCTGAAAATATGGGTATTTTTTCTTGAATACAAATTGTTTTTAACGCACAGTATATCCTCAATGAGAGAAAAGCAAAAGACGAATGTCATGCTACTTTTACAAAACTATAATCTTTCGAGAGTATCCCAAGTTCTAAAAATTGAAGCTACACATAGGCTCCGTAAATCTCTTCGTAGACAAAGACATGAATAAGGTAGCATGACTATATAGAAATACTAAAATTTATCGTCATCAAGAGAAAATAGAAAAATCCAGACCAGAAAAGGCAAGTAGTGTTATTTCAGATCCGAAAAAAGTTTTAAAAGTATGGTCACATATTTTGATGATGAATTTTGACAGACTGAATGTGAAGGCCAAACGAACCAGAACTAAGACAAGACGAAATAGCAGCAAACGTGAACAATAGCAATATAGTAAAAATGGAAGAAGAACAGAAAATTTCATGAAGATAAAAGAATTTAGAAAATATTCGAAACAAAAAGATAGAGCAAGACGCAGTTAATCACAACTATTCTCATATTTGAAAGAGACTGTCGCATCTTTAAAATCTTCTCTGGATAGAAAAATTCTGATTATCGGACTTATCAGAATTTCTGAAAGATATAACATTTCGATCTAATTAGGATCACGTTTTTCAAAATTCTCATGCGTGATATAACCAGAAAAACTATGAATATATCTATAAAACTCGAGCTCAATCAGCTGGTAAAGAACGCAGCGCCAAGTCTAAAATGACACTTCTTCAGTCTTCAAGATAAGTTATATGGTGAAAGTGCCATTGTATGTTCCACAGAATTTTGATGAAACCTATGACGAAAATGTAAGAAGCAGCGAATTTCAAAATGATCGATGAATCTAACGAGAAAAATCTTTGGAATCTTAAACATAAGATCAACCACATTTTAAATAAGTTTTAACCAAGAACTTTGTTCTTATTCATCATATCAAACTTCAATTTCTCCATAAAATCATGAATTTTCAAGTTGTAGTTCTAATACAAACTTTTCTACTTCATCTGCGCAAAATTCAAATGTGAAATATAATGGATCCACTTCAAATTTAAAAGTCTGTCTGTTATGGCCTATAGGGTGATGTCGACAGAAAAGCAGTTCAATTTTGTTTTGGTTATATACTTGACAATTCTTTATCGACTGTCCTTCAAAAAATGTCGTGCAACCTTATTCAACATTAATCGAACTAATACTTACTAGAACTATAATCCAAAATTTTCTATGAAATGTTAAGACGATTTAATCAGGATTAAAAGTCTCAAATTGCGATATGAAATAGATAAAGGTAATAAATATATATATGGTTAATCTGAATATTTCTCATTTATTAGCTACGTAATAACATAAGATGGCAGAACTCAAAACTTACTACACATATTTTGTGTTGCAATCAGAGCAAAAGTAACTAAATGCAGTATGGGTATTCAGATCACTGTTAGTATAACAGTTCAGGATAAACATTCATTAACTAATGAGATGTTTGATTTTTTTTTTGTTTACCCATCTTGAATTTCTTTCTTCACTAATACGAACCATCTGGAATCATGATAAGTTCGGCAACGAAAGCAATCAATAATAACGAGGGAATATGGTAATGTAAAATTATTTATTCATACTTTTGTCGAGGGACGATTGAAAGTCTTTTGAAGTTTGATTCGAGAATGAATGGGTTACGACAAATAAATGTACGAAAAGAGAAAAATCATGAGTACTCATCCATCTATACACTCTTAACGATTGGAGGTATTATTATGCGCGCTCTTCGCTCAACTATTTCTGAATCACCAATAGGCTAAGAATGACAAAAATTTTTATAGATCATTCTGTTCAATTGTTCCATTCAATGAAATATCCGAAGAGAAACAGCAATTGCATTGATTCCCATCGAAGTTCATTATTTTGTAAGCGATATACTATCGGTTCTCTTTGAAAAGTGACGTGCTCGGAAAGCTCACATTGACTAATATGGGTTTTAAAGTAGTATACATGAATGTATTCTAGTTGAGAGCGATATTTTCATATATTCGACCAAGCGTTCAATTTCAATCAACAAAATTGTTAGATTTCTCAGTTGTCCCGCAATGACAAGCGATTCTTTACTAAACTCGACTTTTCAATACAGCAGAGCGATCTAATAGTTGACAATAGAGCTAAGATGGATTTCATTTGAGTGACTTCAAAGAGTTTCATTTTCACATCGAAGAATTAACTGGATGACTTTCCTACTCCATGAATGAAAGAAAAGAGAATAAGTCTTAAAAGTTGCACTATTCGAACTGATTTGATGAAGCACTGCGTTGTTATAATTACAGAGATCAATATGATTCCATTATCAGGATATAAAACTTTTCTAAAATGCAATTCGATTATCTCCTCTCGAAAATTGAAAAGTATGCACAATTATCTGTACTAATTCAAATGATTTTAGACGGTTCTTGTTTATGAAGAAAGAAAACAATGTTAGATAAACAAAAAATCACACATAGTTTTTTTTTGCTAATGCTTTTTAATCATTTGGTGGTCTTCTAATGACGATTTGAATTTTTAGATTTGTTTGAGGCATTATATCTCTAATGAGCCTATTTATGTACTTTAAAGCGAACTCTTGAAGATAGCTCATTATTTTGATTGATGTTGATTCTCGATGAGAACGTACATGATCAAACTGTTGTTTTTACAATGGCTGAAACATAAAAATTGATCAGATCAATGTTCGAGAGAAAATTTTTACATCAGCTTTTCATTATTTTTCAGTGTTTTCGGCTTATATTGGTGCCGCTACCGATCTCTTCACCCTCACCCTTGTGCGCTAGTTAACATTCATTTTAGATATATATCTTAGAAGTGAACGAGAAATGAAAACATTTATGTTAAAGTGCTAGTCATCAATGCTGATATTCAACTTATTCAATCAAGCATTTGCAAATAGTTAACAATAATAAGATGAATTAGTTGATCCAATCGAAAAACTATTCAGTTCATTTCTATATTCTTTTTATATTGAAATCAATTCTCTGCATTTATTTCTCACAGCATTGACTTAAATTTTCATGATATTTTTCTTATAGTCAGTTCATTTGAGTTTTTTTTCCTGGAAATAGAACCATACCATTTCATGCTGTCAATTAAAATTTTTATTAATGAGAATAGAACTCATAGACTCAATTGCTACCGACCTTCGTTGTTGAAAAACTGTATTGAATATGATTGAAGTCAAAATCAGTCTCGTTTTTATTGTTTTCTCACTGATTTTTTTACCCAATTTATAAAGATGCATGATTCATTACCTTAACTATGATTTCATTTTGTCAGCCTTTTTTTCCTTTCCTATAGACATTTCATGACTTTCTATTATGTGATCACTCAACATTGACTTTCGTTGGCACAAGAAAAAACCGAAGTACTCGACCAATTTTCTAGAATAACATCGACATTTACATAACTTCATTGCTTTCCTATAACAATAATCTTCTGCTTGCATTCAGTAATCATCGTAATATTGTTAACTGAAAATGCTGTTAGCGCAATCCCTTGCGAGATTAAAAATGTAAAACACGATGTTGCTGCTGTTGCCAATCTTCTAAAAATTATTGCTTTTTACACATATTGAGTACATTTCTTCATCATGGTTTACTTTACATTATAGAGCTTGAACAGGATAATACTCCATATATGGTTTAATCATATGTTACTCATGCATTATGTCTGATATTTCCTTGAAGTCTTCTATCACAGTCTATGATGACCGTCGGAGTCTGTTTGTCATGGTCTGTGATGGGTCACATGAATGTCTGTCACGATCTAGGAGGAGAGGGAGGGAAAGACGCACAAGCCAAGTCCAAGAAAGGTAGATCTTTTCGATCATCTGGTTCAAACGAGGGCGAAAAAGCAAACTTCAAGGTTGCGAAAAACTTACAGAAATTTCATAAGGCTTCAAGCCCGAAATCTCTACTAGTTCATTCGTGAGTTCAGAACCCTTGTAAAAGAGATTACGAATAACTCATGATGATTTAATTGTGAATCTAATAACTAAATTTTTCAATTGATGCATTCAAATATTCAGACTAGAGATGTGCGAAAATAAGCTTTTTCGGTTTCAGTCTGATTCAGGTCATAGTCTCGGTAAATTTGGTCTAATCTCGATGCCGACGCTGGTGATTTTAGTTTCTCTAGTAGCAGTTAGAGTCCTGCACGGAGTCGTTTTCGAAGTCAATTAAATTTTTTGCCGAAAATTTAGTGTTAGTATAAGAATCTTTTTTTGACTTGTAGGTTTTGTTCTCTGATATTTAATGCATAAGCTGATACATTAAATATCAGAGAACAAAAGCTACAAATCAAAAAAGTTCTTATGCCAAATCTAAATATTCGGTAAAAAATTAAATTGATTCCTAAAGCGACTCCGCGCAGAACTCTAGTAGTAGCAGTCCCTGTCTAGAGAAAACTATTCCAGAATATATTTGTATGAAATTTAAAAAATTCTTCAATATTTGCTTTTTATTTATTTTTGGTCGACGACTAGTCCTCTTTTTTCGATCATCTCTCTTGAATTATGTTCTGATTGATGATTTATAAGATAATTCGTTTAAAACTATCAATATTTAACTGTAATCTTTAGTTCCAGTTGGAGCAACTTTTTTCTCATGATCCCAGTTTCAATGATCAGGACTAAAACTAAAACTGGTCTTCCACGTCTCTCCAATCCAGACAATAAATAATTGAATGCTTTGA